ATAGGGGCATTCACTATAAACATAATTTATTTTCAACCTTAGGCATACACGACTTTTTGGCGAAAGTGAAACTAACAGCCTGTGTGAAATGCGCTAGGCTGTACTACTGTCCTATCATTCTGCATCAGTACAAATATGTGCACGCGTTGCACGTGTTTTGCTTGCTTGAGTGTTTCTGCATTATATGAGTGGCTTTAGAAAATAAATCGCTGCACGTTTCAAATGAAAAAAACACGACTTCTATTTCTGAAAATATCACAGTTCGGAGATTTATAACGAGTGGTTCCCTGCATTATTACAGCAAAGCGCATGATTACAGTACTGAGCCGCTGCAATGGAGCAGCTCTAATGCTATTAAATTACAGATGATGTACCATAGAGCAAAAAATTAACAGTGAAAGTAACAAAAACTTGTAAAATACATTTTAATGGGCATAATTAAGTGTGAAAATAACCAAATGATATACAGTGAAACCAAACATTATTCAGAGACCAGATATAATTTTTTATATTTTTTTACTAGTGGGTGCAGGACACGATAGTTCATTTATATAAGTGAGGATAGCAAAATAAAGTAAACTGTGACAAATTATACCCCAAATTTCTTCATACAGTGGACTACCAGAAAAACTGATACAAATTTGGGACCAAAAATTATTCAGACCGATTCTGTTGAGGTTTGCATGAAGCTGGGTGACAGCACGCCCGAGAGCCCAATCACCTTCGAGTGTTAACTAAACAAGTCAATGACAGTTGGCGTGCGTGTTTCGCCACGCGCATCCCGCCCCGCAGCGCGGGTATAAAAGGAGAGCGCGTGCAAACGCACATCAGCTTTTCGCTTCGGAGCCGAGCCTTCTACAGGACGAATCTCTGCGAGTGTTCGAGAGAAACAGCTGGCGTTGGTGTGACGGCGTATCAGCGGGGGTTGCCATCCAGGCTGCTGAAACCTCGGTGGGCTGCAGCTTCCATTCTGTGGTCTCGCCGCGACCTCCTCTGGGTGCTTCAGCGCTCTCTCTAAAAGAGTGTTTCCTTCTAAAAGAGCAAATTCTAAAAGAGCTTCACGAGCGACGGGCGTCTTTTTAAAGATGGCTTCCCGCTCGTGCGTTTCTGGATGCGGTCGTTTCCTGCCTTCATCGGTACCCAAAACTTCAATAAAAGTTTCCTTTGCCCTTCCGGGTCCCAAGAGGGCGAGGACGGCGGTGCATTCAATTCGCCCGGCGCCCTCCCAAGTTCAGAGGCATTCGGTTCACCTCTGTGCCGGACAAGGATGCTCCTGTCTTGCGTGCAGAGATCGCGGTCCTGCTAGCGAAGGACGTGATACAGGTCGGGTTTCTACAGCCCATACTTCATCGTACCCAAGAAAGGCGGTGGGTTACGACCGATCCTGGACCTGCGAGTACTGAACCGGGCCCTTCACAAGCTCCCGTTCAGGATGTTGACGCAGAAACGCATCTTTCAATGCGTTCGTCCTTTCGATTGGTTCGCAGCGGTCAACCTCAAGGACGCGTACTTTCATGTCTCGATTCTCCCTCGACACAGACCGTTTCTCCGCTTTGCGTTCGAAGGGCGAGCATATCAGTACAAGGTCCTCCCCTTCGGGCTATCCCTGTCGCCTTGTGTCTTCACCAAGGTCGTGGAGGCAGCCCTTGTTCCATTGAGGGAAGCGGGCATTCGCGTTCTCAACTACCTCGACGACTGGCTCATACTGGCCCAGTCCCGAGCACAGTTGTGCGAACACAGGGATATGGTGCTCAGTCACCTCAGCCGATTGGGGCTTCGGGTCAACTGGGAAAAGAGCAAACTCTCCCCGGTGCAGAGGATCTCTTTTCTCGGCATGGAGCTGGACTCGGTCAACCTCTCAGCACGTCTCTCAGTAGAGCGCGCGCAGTCGATGCTGAACTGCCTGGGGTCCTTCCAGTGCAAGACGACGGTTCCACTGAAACAATTTCAGAGGCGCCTGGGGCATATGGCATCCGCAGCCGCTGTTACGCCGCTCGGGTTGCTTCATATGAGACCGCTTCAGCATTGGCTTCACGACCGGGTCCCGAGATGGGCATGGCGACACGGCACTTACCGGGTTTCTGTTACCCCGTTCTGCCGTCAGACCCTCAGCCCATGGACAGATCTTGCCTTTCTTCGGACAGGAGTATCCCTTGGGCAAGTATCCAGGCATGTTGTTGTGTCAACAGATGCCTCCGCCAGGGGCTGGGGTGCCATGTGCAGTGGGAATGCAGCTGCGGGGCTCTGGTCGGGGCCCCGACTACAGTGGCATATCAACTGCCTCGAGTTGCAAGCAGTATGGCTGGCTCTACGCCGC